TGCGTGCACGCGCCTGTGTGCGTACGGTTGTGCAAGGTCAAATGGCGTCGACCGATCTAGTCGTAGGTTGGTTCAGAGGACCACACTGGCCTAAGAACGTCACAAGTGGGCGAATATAGAATTGAACGCGAGTGCCGATCTTGTGTGCGTCAGTGCTATGGTGTGTGTATGGTGGTGTGCGTGTGTGCGTGCGTGCGTGTGTTCTCTGACGTTTTGTTAATCTCCTTTAATCGTCCTGTCTGTATCTCCGTTTTATATGCACACGCAACTGTATCTCACGAGAAAAATGCTGATCAATCGAAATAGTTTATCCTTGTCATGATTGTGCCAATGATTAAAATCCAGCGTGCACTCAATTAATGGTCAGTAGGCCGGACATGTTCTGTTGTTCATATGTTGTTCAAATGACGGGGTTTATTTATGGCCATTTAAGCAAACCTTTTCCATACAGTTATAATGGCATGCGCGCGTGTAACGAAAGTAGCGTTGAAGAAATGAGAGTGAAATTTTACACATCCAATTACTTTTTCCACTTTCCAGCCTATGTGGTTACTCGAAAAGTAATTTTCTGATCTGATTGGCTAACTTTGCCGAGCGGCATGCAGACACATCAGTGCACACGGACCAGCTGCCTACTTGATTAGCCAGCTGGTTGACCGGCTTAGTGGTGGATCCGAGTGAGGCCGACATACAACCGGCCTTCCAACGACCCTAAACTGACTCGATTGAGTAAACGACCAGCTGACGCGTTCGGTGTACCATATAATTGGTTGGACCACCATTTAGATTCATTTACGATATGTTTGTGTGTGTGCGTAAACATAACACATGTTCGACGATCAGTAGACAGCAAAATGAATTGAAACACCCGTCTCCCTGTATGCATATATGTGCGTGCATGTATGTGTGTACAGTTGGAAGGGAACAGGACACTCCAAGCACTGTTGACAGATTGCTCGGACCAAACCTTATGCCTATCACGAGTTTTCGAAACGTTTTTCACCATCCGTAACTATGATGCAGTGTTTATAGAACCTTTTCAAGCTTCCTGTGATCATTTACGAAAAATGATTTGTGAAGTAGCTCAAGGTTAGGTGTCCATTCCGTAAGTTATAATGCATACTGGTCCCTCAGGATTACAACTGAACTCAGACTCCATTGAAAACTGACTGTAGTTAGTTACCTATGAAAGCAGTAGGTGCCCAATCAATCGACTTTCTCCGTTTGCGGTGTACCGTAAAAGCCAAGCGGTAGTGGTGAAATCCGAACACAAACTATGAACAGATAAGATGGTCACATACAGCACTTGATTACAGGTGGCAATTTGCTAAGTCAAGGTGTTGTGGTCAAAGTAGTATAATCAGTACAAGGAGTCTGATCCGAATGAAGACTTATCGTTACTCATTTTCATCACCCTTGTTGATTAAATTTGTGTGGTACAATGTTCATTTCGTCACAAATGATGACCATATTTGCTAAGCGCATTCGCTGTAACGTATCTATGAGATAGAGGAAATTAATTTCGGTACAACCTTACTTTCACATTAATGCAAACCTCTCTGATCACAAACTTGAATTTGTATAAAAATTAAAAGGTATTTGAATTTCCAAACATGCAATGGTTCAAAAATCCGGTTATTTATTTTACGTTTATGTATAGAATGGGTCCCAGCATCTCTTTCTTAGAAACAGACCTGGTCTATATCCGAAAAAGTTATGCAGTTTGACTTTGCTACAGACCATTAATAAATACTACGAGACGGTAGTAAAACTCCATTCTTTTTAAAGAAAAATGGATTTCGGTCCAGTCAGTCACAGTGGTTTCTGGATCCATTAGAGAAACTCGGTTATACCATCAGCGAATAGAAGCTTTCTTGGAGCTCAAACGAATGTTTCTCGTCCGAGTTTATCAGGAATGCTCTCTTATTCCTTTATCTTCGATTTTACAGCAATTATGGTTTTTACGGACCATACAAGCCCGATGTTATGATAAAAGCGCGACGTTCCCCTAGGGTAGTGAGCTTTCCGATCTGGGATTTCAAGAGTTTGTCTCCCTGTAGATGGGAAATTAGTTATAGGCATGACATCATTATCATGCATTTTCGGTGGACATCTCTGGAATTACAGTTTCGCCATTGCCTTATTCTGTTTACCAATCTAGTATTTACTGTCGAAATTATCTCCCATGTATACAAACTTGCAAACACTCAGCGATTGATGATGACTGATGACATTACATTGCAGTATCCAAACCACACTACTTTTGTTCATCCGAATAGATTGAGAGGGCAATGCGACACACAGTTAGAGTGTAAGCTGTAACAAGTGGTTCGTTTCACGAACGGAAGATAAGAGGAACCAGAAACAAATTCGTTTGGAGGGGGGTTGTTTGGCTCCAGTATGGTCGGTTATCTAACTGTGATTAGTAGGCTATGCCGGCTGAATACTTGAGGGTCTACGGTGAATTTTGCCATGTACATAGCAGACGAAGCGTGGAGGGAGATATTGGGAAGCACTAGATAGCTGTGTCGATCTACTTGAGTTCCATCACCGGTTAAAGTTGGTTTTTACTGTACTGTGCATCGATTCGTAATTGTAATAAAACCTCAGCAGGTAGAAGCAAGCGTCGAGTTTTAAGTTCACTCCTCATTTGCTCTCTACATGACGAAACTCGCCATCTAATGGAATCAATTCCTACACTACTATCAGGTGATTGTATGATATATTTGTTCGAGAACATTGCGTGGCATGCCACCCAATGATGGTTAAATATGTAGCTACTGATGGGTGCTCGAAAACTGACGGCAAATAATGGTGAGAAGTATAAACATCTCCGTTGTGATCCACTCTATCCACATAACTCAGGATGTGGGTAATTAAACGAGTGCTGTGAAATGGTTAGATCTTAGATCTATTTTTTCAGCATCCGTGTGGTTCTATCACAAGCAATATATTATTATTATTATACTCTCCCACGTACTATGTTTGTTTTGAGATTGGTCTATATGTGGTTAAAAAGCGCTCGGTACAAATGTGAAATTAATCTATTTGTTATAAAGTAAATGAAACACAGAAGGTTTTAACACCGCCACACTCGGCCGACTTGCCGGGAAGTGAATGTATCCTTACTGATCACTTTGAGTCAGAGATAACGCTCTCTCAAACACTTGCATTCTAAATAGTACTGAATAATACCACTTGGAAATCTAGGGATTGTTTATTAGTGCCGCCTTTTTTAGAATCGGTAAGTCGCAAGACCAGATTAGTTTCCGTTCAGTGTACATGGGATCGATACAAATAATTGTCACCTCCGGCCACTTTATTGGCTGTCTGGCTGGCTGTATATGTGAAACGTATGATATGTTTCGAAGTCCAAATCGAAAACAGATAAACATCAAGTATTTGTGTTACATGTGTTCGACCATTGAAATATTGTTTACGCATTTATTTTCAGCACGAGTCTACAAAACGAGAACCACCGAGGTCACTGGGCTTAGTGGACACTTTCATTTTATTGCTCACAATGGTGCGAGCGGCAAGGCAGTGGATTTTACGAGTTGGATGACGTTGAGAGCCATGATGAGCTACTTTGGTAATGGTATACAATTTTTGGCATTGGTATAACTGCGGAATGAACCGTAGATTGTCTTTTGGGTCAAGCATGCATGTAGTTGATCGGACTGGACAACAAAGAGTCAGTAGAGGCATTTGTAAAGATAAGATGTGATCAGTTTTGCTCATTCGAAGTGTTCGAATTAGAGGAGGAGGAGGAAGAAGAACTCATGATGCACAATCCATATACAGCGGCGCTGATAGTGATTCCAAATCAGAGGTATTCCAGTGTGTCATTTATTTTTTCACGTCCAGAGCGTCATAAATGTTTCAGAGGACTTGATAACGTGTGGCATTTCAAAATTCGCCAATTACTGCACAGGAGCACGCTCTCAAATGCGAGGAAGAGCTTTTCTTGATTGGTTGCCCCATTATTGTAAATGCGATGCACATTTAGTGTTGTCCTTAAATCGATCAACGTATTTGACTGCTACCGGAAAAATGGATTAGGCTCCGGATGAGCGTGAACTTTGCCACTTATTAGTGGGCTGATTATGAGGCTCTATTCGCGTTTTGTGCTTGCAACCAAGGCGTGAGATAGCAAATTGTGTTAGCCGAGGCTGGTTACGCATAAGTGGATG